AGGGAATTTGTTATTGCAATGAACCCCAATACCTTTCCACTGACAGTAGAGGCGGCTGAGGTAACTGAAAGAAACAAGAATAGACAGTCAGAAGGGAAGATTGTTGAGAAAACGAAATGGAAAGGACCTTCGTCTTTTCGAGGATCCAAGACTATAAGATATAATAATAGATCTGAACAAAAGAACAATGAGAAAGGTAATCAAGGTGAGGGTAAGATGGATCCGAGGAAATGTTATAAATGTGGTGAAGTGGGTCATTTGTCCAGAAATTGTCCAACCAACAAAAGGTGTTTTAATTGCAACTCTCCGGATCATATTCGACCGAATTGCCCTTTGTTAAGAAATCTGCAGCTGACAGTGGGAGGCAATGCATCGAATACTCGGGGAAGACCTACTGCAAATCAAGAAGGACAAGGAGGGGCGCGAGGACGATCCTTCCAGATGACCAAGAATGAAGCGGAAGTATCGCCGGATGTAGTAACAGGTACTTTTCTCCTGAATTCAATACATGCTAAAGTGTTATTTGACTCTGTTGCAAACTTTTCGTTTGTATCACCGTTGTTTGCTCAAATTGCATGTCTGAATTATGTGTTGCTTGATGATAAATTAGTAGTTGATACTGCTAATAATCAAGAAATTGTTACTAGTGTGTTCAATGACTGTATAATCGTTATTGAAAACTTTGAACTCCCGATCCGGTTATTTCCTATGCCAATGAAAGAATTTGACATAGTAGTGGGTATGGAATGGTTAGCAAAGTATCAGGCTAGCATTGATTGTAATTAGAAGATGATCAGAATTATTTTGCCAGACCAGAGAACAGTTATTATTTATGGTGATCGTCGGGATCATCACATTAGTATTCTGTCAGTAATGAAAGCCCGAAAGAGTATTCAAAAGAAGTGCCAAGGATATTTGGCATATGTGATTGATTTAAAGAAAGAGAAAAGAAAGGAAGAATTGATCCCAATAGTTTGTGAATATCCTGAAGTTTTTTCGGAAGACTTATCTGAGTTACCACCAGATAGAGTTATTGAATTCCGAATCGATCTTATACCAGGGGATGCACCTGTAGCTAAGGCTCCATATCGTTTAGCTCCATCCGAACTGAAGGAATTGGCAACACAGTTGAAAGATTTAACCGATAAAGGATTTATAAGGCCTAGCACTTCGCCTTGGGGTGCTCCAGTCTTGTTTGTCAAAAAGAAAGATGGATCTATGCGAATGTGCATAGATTACCGTGAATTGAATAAGTTGACAATCAAAAACAAGTATCCTTTACCAAGGATTGATGACTTGTTTGATCAACTGGTGGGGGCAAGTTATTTTTYTWAAATCGATTTGAGGTCAGGATATCATCAGCTTAAAGTCAGAGAAGAAGATGTTGAGATAACAGCGTTCAGAACAAGGTACGGGCATCACGAATTCCTAGTTATGCCATTCGTCTTAACTAATGCGCCCGCAGCTTTCATGGACTTGATGAATAGGGTATGTAAGGAATACCTTGATAAATTCGTTATTGTATTTATCGATGATATTCTTATATACTCTAAGACTGAAGAAGAGCATGCAAGACATCTTCGTCTGATACTGGAATTGTTGAAAAGAGAAAAATTGTATGCAAAATTGTCCAAGTGTGAGTTTTGGTTAAGAGAAGTTCAATGTCTGGGTCATGTCATTTCAGAATCAGGGGTAAAAGTTGATCCAATGAAAATAGAAGTTGTTGCAAAATGGGAAGTTCCAAAGACTCCGTCTGAAGTTCGTAGCTTTCTGGGATTGGCTGGTTATTACCGAAAGTTCATTYAGAATTTTTCTAAAATAGTTGTGCCATTGACTAAACTGACTCGGAAGAATGTTAAATTCCAGTGGGAAAGAGAACAGCAAGAAGCCTTTCAACTTTTAAAATATCATCTTTGTAGCGCACCAGTATTAACCCTGCCAAATGGATCTGAAGATTTTGTAGTATACAGTGATGCTTCAAAATTAGGGTTGGGATGTGTTTTAATGCAAAAGGGAAAAGTAATCTCTTATGCATCAAGACAACTGAAAGAACATGAAAAGAGTATCCAACTCATGACATGGAGTTAGC